GTGGAGTGTGAAGGGTCAGTAACAGACAGGAGCACACGTGTGTGTGTGTGGAGTGTGAAGGGTCAGTAACAGACAGGAGCACACGTGTGTGTGTGGGGTCAGTAACAGACAGTTTGATAGACGGTGTACTCATTCCCTCTGAGCCTATCCACCCCAGTGCCACCCCAGCAGAGCGCCTCAGGTGTACTGCATATGAGAACTGCTTCACTGCGTGCCTGTCACTGTGCTGAACACAGTCAACACACAGTGTCTTTAACAGTGTCTGCGGGGAATTCTTTGAGTAGCTCTCAGGTTGTAATTGGAGCTTTAATTCAGTTAAATTAGATGAAATTGAAAAACATCTCTTGAACTGCTGGAGGTTCAGCATTAACCATTTCATTTTTAAGGTGCAGTCATATAAATCAAGAGCTTAATAGCATCTGAGATTAACGTTTTAAGTGAGGTAATTGGCTCAATTAAGGCTTCAGTTAATGAGAAGCACAGCTGGAACTGGAGATATGTTGGACATTTCAGCTCAGATGGGTTTGGTCTCACTTCTGAAACCTCAGCTGGTTATTTTAGGTGTTTTAAGAAACCTAAAAGGCACGTAGGCCCTGTGATCTGAGCTCTTCCAGTGGGCGCTCTGTACAGAGTGCTCTTGGTTTGGCTGGGCGGAGGCTGCCAGTTCTATAGGGTCTCGCTCAAGGGGGAGCAGGTCTGTGAACCCATTTTTGTTCTCTTCCAGGCATCACAAACCCCAAGCAGCCCAAAGATGCACCCAAAAACTTCACATTTGACTACTCTTACTGGTCCCACACCACGGTGAGTTCCCTCCTGTCCTGGGCCACCACCTCACCTGTCTTGATTCCTTCCTCTTTCTCACATTCATCTCTCCCTCTCTCCCCCAGTCTTCCCTTCTTCCAACTGCCCCCATTCTTCTCCTGTCTTGATCTCACTGCTCCTGTCCCCCTGTGTCTGACTGTCCTTCCTCTCTCGCACTCATCTCTCTGCCCTTCCTCAGTCTTAGTGCTCCTGTCCCCCTGTGTCCCACTGACCCTCTTTCCTCTCTCTGCAGCCAGAGGACCCCCAGTTTGCCTCCCAGCAGCAGGTGTACAAGGACATTGGCGAGGAGATGCTGCTGCACGCCTTTGAGGGCTACAATGTCTGTATCTTTGCCTACGGGCAGACGGGCGCTGGGAAGTCCTACACCATGATGGGCAAACAGGAGCCAGGGCAGCAGGGCATCATCCCTCAGGTACCCCACTCGGACGGGGGAGACTTGGTCTCTCCATTAGACACCACTGATTCCTGGAGATTTAGGGAGCACAGGTGGGACTGCTGTATGTCAGCAGGTTTTCATTTAATTTCTGCTCATTAATGACTTAATTGGATAATTAAGGATATTGACCAGACTCTTCTAGTGTTGGTGCTTTAAAGAGCCCTAGAACGCCTCCAGACACACACTGGCCCCGCCAGGACCAGGATCAGGGAGACTCCTGAAACTCCTCTGGCCAACCTGTCTGCAGTTTCAGCAGCTTAGGTATCCCTTTCGGTCACTTGTCAAATGATCTCCAGGACAAAGATCACAGTGTCTCAGGTTCATTGAGATCCCCATTGAGATCCAGCTTGTTTATTGATTGATTGTTTTTTACCTGAGTTAGAATAACTAGAATTCTGCTCTAGGTTTCTTCCACTGCTGTCCCTGTCCTCTCACATTCAATTCACACAACACACTCACCCTGTATTCACCAGCACACACACTGTCACACCTGACTGTACTGTAGACACTGCTAGAGCCACTGCTGTCCCTCTCCTCTCACACTCACCCTGAATTCACCAGCACACACACTGTCACACCTGACTGTACTGTAGACACTGCTAGAGCCACTGCTGTCCCTCTCCTCTCACACTCCCCCTGAATTCACCAGCACACACACACTGTCACACCTGACTGGACTGTAGACACTGCTAGAGCCACTGCTGTCCCTCTCCTCTCACACTCCCCCTGAATTCACCAGCACACACACACACTGTCACACCTGACTGTACTGTAGACACTGCTAGAGGCACAGCTGTCCTGCTCCTCTCACAATTACGTTAATGGTCTTCCTCTCCCCTATTCCGCAGCTCTGTGAGGATTTATTCAAACGCACAATCGAGAACATCAGCCCAGACCTGTCATATTCCGTGGAGGTAAGATCAGCTTGCTTATATATTTAGACGCACTTAAGTAGCACTTGACAACGGAGGATCCATAATGTTTTTTCCTTAAATATTAAAACATAAAAACCTCAGAAAGCTCACAAATGAGAGCTCCATTCAACCGATCTGGCATGTTGGCATTCTCACTGGCTCATAGATCCCAGGAACCCTTCAGATGGGCAGCTTTTTGTATGAAGTAGTGCCCCCTGATTTGACCGCTTAGCAGATGTGACCTCGGAAAAGAGCAGTGATGCCTCCAGTCATCACCCTGACCTTCCGGAAGATAGACTTCCTAGACACCACCACATACAAGGGTTCCTCCTTCAACAACACAGGCAAACTGGACATCAAGGTATATATCAAAGACACGGACGCACACGGCTTACTGCACAAAGACAGCTTCCATCCAAAACATACTTTCAAAGGACTGGTAAAATCGCAACTCCTACGCTTCCACAAAATCTGCACACAACAACAAGACTTTGAGGAAGCCAAACACACACTCTTCCAAGCTCTACGCCCGAGAGGATACACACAAAGTTTCCTAAAAAATGTGGCACAAACATTTCTAAACAGAAAAACACCTGATGACAGAAAAAAAATATCCCTCATCACAACATATTCCCAACTCAGCATAATAACCAACCAAAAACTAAAGTCTACATTCACCACGATATTTGAAAACACAAACCTACTCTGGGAACACAAAATCATATCTGCATATAGAAAAAACAAAAACCTACAGGATTATTTAGTCCAAAGTAAACTAAAACCTGTAAAAAACAGATCACATACACCAAGAGCCAGACACTTCAAACAGAAAATGACCCAAAACAACAAAACCAAAGAAATCTTCCAGTTGCAAAGGGCGCTCTCAGAAAACATCAATAACGCTGTCTATGGCATCCAGTGCAAAACGTGTGGGGTGACCTATGTGGGGGAAACGGGTAACTCCATCCGAACCCGACTGGCACAACACAGGTACAACATCCGGAACCAGCGGGAAAGGAGGACTTGCCTAGTGGCACACTTCCTACAGCACGGGCTGGAAGCGCTGAAGGCCACAGGACTGGAGAGCAACCCCAACTGGACAGAGACAGACAGAAAGAAAGAGAAAGGAAACAGAGTGGATTAAAAGATTTGATGCTACCTTTCCACAAGGCCTGGACATCAGAAAATAAACTGGGAGGGTTTCAGTCATTGAGTGCAGCACTCCTTGTCCCAGATGGTCCCTTCTTAGAGACAATCTGGGAGAAAGAGCTTTGTTCCCCTATCCTGACCTTCCGGAAGCTGGATTTGGGGGAGCAGTGAAGGTCAGGGGTTCAAACAAAGGCTCATTTTCATGCACTCTGTGTCCCTCAAAGATGAGCAAGGTGCTTCCCAAACCAGCTGGCCAGTTCAGGCAGCAGTATGGGAAAAACTGGGCATTGCGGCATGATGCGTTTGGGTTTGTGTTCTCATCCTCCAGCTGGTGTCCTCCATTTAAGAGCCAGAGTGACATAGCACCCCCTGCTGATCTCATTTCCCACGCTCCTGTTCGCTCCCTGCTCTGCCATGCCCAGTTCCTGAAAAGGGCGCTTGGATCAGCGATTATCCTCCCTTCACTGGTTTTGAGAGCCTGCTCCTCAGCGCCCTCTGTCTCTTGACCCAGGTGTCATACATGGAGATTTACTGCGAGCGCGTGCGTGACCTGCTGAACCCCAAGAGTCGTGGGAACCTACGTGTTCGGGAGCACCCCATCATGGGTCCCTATGTGGAAGACCTGTCCAAGCTTGCGGTCACCAGCTTCTCCGACATTGCTGACCTCATGGACTGCGGCAACAAGGCCAGGTCAGGCTGGGGTCAGACTGGGATTAGAGAGCAACAAGGCCAAGTCAGGCTGGGGTCAGACTGGGGTTAGAGAGCAACAAGGCC